GAAGTAAGGAATTTTGGCTCTGTACCCGTCTGTGTCATTGTTTAGGCTAGTTGTCTGCACTCTGTTTCCCTCTTGGCAGTTAAGTCCTTGTTTGTTCCAGTTCCCTCTCTGATCTCCTCCTGGCAGGGTCCTGAAATGTCCTTACAGAGATCAGACTGTAATATTACTACCTGGATCTGTGATGGCAGGATTCATTATAGTGGTGCTCATAAGAGAAAGCATTCAGGCAGTAGTTTGTCACACAGGTTGCTTGAGTATCCTGAATAAGAAGCTTCTAGCATGTGTTGAAGAAAGAAGAAAGTAGCAATACAATTGCTTCTTTATATTCAACAGATGTTTCCCAAACCAAGCAGTAAACCCTTAAAATCTACACCATGAGCTAATCTTCCCTGAGGTAACTCCCTCTGCTGTCTTAGAATAGTTATGATTATTACTATTACATAAATATGTAGAGGCTCCTGGGATCAAGGATTCGTTGTTTCGGAGACTGCAGTATATAGGGCAGGAGGCACCACCAAACACGAAAAGATTCAGCCTAAATAGAAAAGACAGATGAAGGAAGCATTGCAATGTGCTTGAGTCATGTATTATCTCACTAGCCTTTGCTTTTAATAGGCCTTATTCTGAAATACAGTTTTCACTTTGCCCTTGTGTTAAAATTTTTTTAAAAAATCCTTTTAGAAGAAATTAAGCAGAGGTTAATAGTAGCTTTGCTTTGCAATCTGCTTATGCTTTACATAACGTAAAATCCTGCCTGTCTAGGTTAGGCGTCTGCTTAGTTCTGTGCCACCTTGTATGAACATAACAAACAAGACTCAGTCTTAAACAACAGAAGGTCAATTGAATTCCAGTTAATCATTTCTTTTAACTCATAGGAATTAAAAAAGAAGTCAGTGCGGAACAGAAAGACACTCAAATGGTGAACGTCTTATGGAGTTTCACAGAGTTCAAACAAAGAGTAATTTCAGCCTGGTCATTCACAGTCTCTACTTTGGGATCAAGTATAGCTTTTTATTCCCAGGAGAGAGTTCACCTCACTGGGGACACTACTGTGGCTGGCAGGCAGCATCTGGCAGCTTTTCTAGGAGCTGCAAGGAACCTTTCAGCTCTTCAAATGAGTGCAGCCAGTAATGGCAGTCTATACAGCTAAGTAATTGCTGGGGTTTGGTTTGGTTTTGTTTTTTTCTCACAGCCCTTACTTCAACAGCTGGTAGACCTTCCACGGATTTGAGAGCATAATCCAGCATCCTACCTGAAAATTAGCCAACCTGGGTTCTGGAGAGCAGTATAGACATGCTAGCAGGTTGCTCTGACACTCCCTGCTGATGAGGTCATGCATCCTACTCCTCTCAGTGAGATTAAATGGGGTGCCAAGCCAGCATGACCATAGAGGTCTGGGTAACACAACTACTTCAGTCGAGCTAGCCTGGATACCTTCACTCACCAAATCACACACCAAATCATGTATATATGTGTTTGTAGCCCAAAGTATATTAGTTTGCTGCCAAACAGCATGGAATAGTTGGGTGGAGCTAGCTGCCCGCTTTCACTTCTAGTACACTTCCACTTTTGCTGCTTTTTAGATTCCTCTCTGACCTGAGAGGAGAATCTGCATCTTGTTTTTTTCTGCAAAAAAAAAAAAAAAATTAGTTTGAATTCTCCTGACCTCAGAAAGATCTAAAGCTTCACTGAATCAAGAGGACTTTTTACCCCAAATTCAACAGACTTTGGGTGAGGTTCTAAATCTCTTTGTATAATATTTTCCTTACAGTTTAACCGTGCTCCTTTATATTACTTCCCTTGTAATATTTCTCAGCCATTGGTAGCACTTGACAAAAGTTCAAGTTTAATACTGAATATGAATGTTATTAGCGTGCTGTTTACTCTCTTTCATATCAATGAAGGTGCTGAGGAGGAGGTGCCTAGAGAGTTCCCTCTTTTTTCGTATTTCAGATTCGTATTTATTCTGACTCTGTTAACAGTGCTTAGGCAGATTTGAGTTTGCATGACCTGGTTCATATCTGAGGCAATCTGAATAAATATTGAGAGTAAATTATGTGTAAAATATCTAAAATGAAACAGCAGTATCAGCAACTGAAATTAACTGAAGATTTGTGCTTTAGAGACCTAGTCAGT